TGCACTTGGCAAAAACGTGTTTTTTACAGGCACGGAGGTTGACAACAGATTGTTATTATATTGTTATATCTGCAGGCTTGTATCGGACAAACAAAGTTGTTAATTCCAAACTGACAACTTGCGACAAGAAGTGGGAAGACAACTTATTGACGGTTTGTTGGCACTTAATTGTTACAAGATGTGAGTTTTTACCTGTCTGTCAAAACGTTGTTACTAGTCTAGCTGTTCATACGCTGTAAACAAGCTGTCTTTTTTGTAGCAATTAAAGATCGTGCTAACAATTGTTGCAACCATAACAATAAAGGATGTTACAAGGCAGCATTTATAGGCATTACAAAGCAATTTTGTTATATATATCAGACTTTCAGAACAATCTCGCAATTTGCAACAAGTCTGCTAATTTTGGCTAATTCCAAACCTGTCAACAACTTGTGAAAAGCAGTGGGAAGACAACTTGTTGACAGCTTTTCAGCAGACTTGTCATAATTAGATGCGAGAGTTTTATGCAGCCGGGTTTTAGTCACATGACAGAACTGAATAGTTTAATTCCCTTCTATTTTTATAATTATTTACCTTTGTAGGTAGCTCGAATGTCGAAAGCCACTCTTTGTCTTCCTTAACCACTTCCGTTGTAAACGCCGTTGTTGGTTCACTGGCCGAGATGCAAGACGATATGTTGATGCACGTAGGGGGTGGTGGATTAGCTGTTTCATCGACATGTTCACCATGCGCCGGATTGTCTACAAGAAACGAGAGCTCTGTCATTTCTGACAGGTCATCTGCAATGATGGGCGGATCGATAGGAGAGGTCGATGGAAGAGATATTTCCTCAATGGCCTTCCGTAACCTAACAATTTGACCAGCTTTGATGTTACAAGCTTTTAATAAGTCGTCGCTTGTTGCTTGTAACATTTCTAATGTATCCAGCTATAGAAATAAATAATTTGTGCAAAATTAATTTGCCTCATTCGGACTGAGATATTTTGATGACAAAAATTTGTAGCAGGCTTCATGGTGTTTCGTTCAATTGACCTAAGTCGGACTTGGTTGGTAGGTTTAGGGCTCGAACCTATCACGTTTGGAACCTCGAAACGGGAGGGTACGAACCTCTCACTTTGGCTTTGGAACCAAGTCAATCCTCAACTAAGATTATATTGTCACGCACATGCCATTTTGCAATTAACCGAGACTGGCAATTTATTAAATATCTATACATATGTTCCTGACGAAAGAGATGGATCGCCAAAGTCGAAGAAAATATTCAATTTGTTTCCAACTTTCTGTTTTATGGTGCGGTTCTTTGCGCGGCTAAGTCGATTTCAGCATTCGTATATGACTCTTGTTTAGCAAGATCCCTTAAATTAAAGAGTATTGAAAGAAGATTCTGTGAATACATTTGATTTGTACATACCATGCATATATATTCATATATTACTACATTATATCGCTGTCAGACGGGCTAAGACTAATTTGAATTTTCCAACAAATCGGCGTATATTTTCAGACCCTTTATCAGGCATTCCTTGAATGTATGTTAGTTAACAGAATTAACTTCCATTTCAAAATAAAATGATTTGGTTCTCCGCGTCAAGTTCCAAAATTCGAAGCGGACAAGCGGGACAACATGCACAAGCTATATATATATTACCATAAGCTACGAAACATCGGTACTCGTTTTGACGTCACATCAGCAAACATGGCGGCTATAAAAGTTCGCATTTGATACCGAGGTTTGAGGGCGAAATTAGTCAAATTACTTCACACACAGAAGTCATATATGCATCAAATTGTTTCTAAAAGACTAAATATTTGTTTAGGCTAATAAAAATGAGGTCGAAAATTTCGTTGCAGTAGCACAAAGATCCTGAGAGAATGTACATATTATGTAAATAAAAAAGTGTCCAATATTCCAGGGGCGGTTCTAGGATTTTTCATACCTTATTCAAAAAGTTTCAGTCAAGAAATTCGGGGGGGGGGGAGATGTCGCATTCGTCAGGGGGGTGCAGTTGCAATGTGACCGTTTTCGCCAAATATCAGGGCTTATCAACATGCCTAGGAAACAATCAATGCAATCTCCGACGAAACGTATTTTACGGCAGCATATAGATCGCAAAGTTCTAAATGAATGTTGATATGACGCGATGCTGATGTTCACATCGTAGTTAGTTTTACGGAATTATGCCCCTACGCGGCTACGCAAATAAAGGAAGACAATCTGCGCTGGCTTGCACGGCTGGCTCACATCATGAGAGAATTGTGATTTTCAATAGTTTGTTTGGGCAGTTTGTGTAAATAGACAAAAAATCAATCTGCAAGCAGGCGAAACAGTATTTAAGGCAGTAGATTCTGTAGTTCTATATAGGCACATTTCCAAAGGTAATATGACGCCACGTTATATATAAAACACCTTAGTTCTCATTTTGTTGTCGACTTTAGCCTTTAGTGTAACTCTTCGCCCAGCCGTGCTCGCTGTTCTTATAAGGTTGCACCACACGGTCCAAAGCCTGCTTCCACACAGTATTTGTGCAGTGTAATTGCTCTCGGTATTAAAGCCACTCATATATCGAGCCAAAATAACCGAACAGATTGGATGCTGATGTTTTCCGAATATTCTTAACCCTTCAAGCAACCTCTAAACCCTCCAAGGTTTTCCGCATTAATTACCATAGGGCTTTACATAGAAATTAGGTGAATTTTGGTTGCTTTTGTAAGGACAACGCGAGTGAAGTCTCTTCGTCGAATCGTCGTCAGAGGCCCCATGGCCATGACTTTGTTTCAATATTAGTACATTACCCGGAATATAGTTATATTCCGAATCATTATCAGGAATATAGTCATATTCAGAGTCAAACGACGTTTAGACATTGTCGATGCAGTGTAGTCAGTGAAAATCAATGATTGTTCAGAATAACCCTAACCCTAACCGTAATTAAGGTACAGCCAGAGATACTATTACATAAGTATATGATCACTCCTATACTGGGTATGAGGGTAACAGACATTTACATTTTCGTGTACATTTATAAATGTATCATCATTCATCGCCATTTTATTTTATCATTTTTATGAACCAGCTCTAGAAAGACTTCATGTCAGACTTCTGTTATTATACTTCCGTTATTGCAAAATTTATGGCGTCATGTACGTTAGCTGGATATGATCTAACGCCGACCAGGTTCCTCGTACTACGTAACTAGCACCAGTTCACTAACTCACGGTCAACATTTGCAGTTTGCTGGTATTTAGTCATAAAAAAGCTTAAAAATGTACAAAAAATCCTAAAACCAAACCGAATCCTCATTATTAGGCACCTAAACTTTTCATTAAATTGTCAAGTCCAAACTACGTCTTTACTTGATGTTTTGTGACGTAGTCCTAGGGACGTGTCGCAGTGAAACCTGGTATAATATCTTCTGTAGTGCCCGAGTTGGCTTGTCAGAAAAGTTGAAATTTTACGAGGTTATCAATAGGTGAAAAAATCTTTAGTTCGTTGAAATATCCATCCACAGGGTAAAAATGAAACGAAACACAAAACTTAATAACCTTTTTAAGTACTTCCCTTCACTTTTAGCATGTTTTAAAGCGTTTTAGTCACCGGAGAAAATTTTTTTTGCAGTCGTGAAAGGGAAATTCAGACAATGAAAAATAACTTAAAAACAAGAAGAATTACCTCTTCCAAGCGCAGAATTTCGATGATTTCTTCCCTCACACCGTTACTCGTCAGCGCTTGAACAAATTGTTGATCCATTTTATAGGAATAGGACAGAAGAAGACTTTTTTAAACCACTAAACTGAATTTTACTTCGAGCAAAGCAAGCAGCAAGCAAGAAAGGCCGAAGAAAGCAATCACGTGACCTGTGAATTTGTACTAACCTATACACCCTTAGGATGAATAATTCTCCGATTAGCTCGACTATCAATGATTGTTTCTTAAAAATTTATCGTAAACAATCACAAATACATTATATATTGGAGAAAAAAACCTTTTTCGTTCAGTTTCCTAACTTTCATTGGGTTTGCCCACATATGTTGGTACGGCTGTACTAGCCTACCCTACCCAAATACAAGTGTACGATTTCTGAATTGGCGCGAATGTTATAGCTTTGCCTGCTTTGACATTGGCTAGCTAGAGCTCTATATAGTGTTCACTGGCTAGAACTAAATCTGTTCTAGACGAAAAATAAACATGGTCTACCGTTGTAATTTGTGCGTTCACTTCACATCTGTCACTCTTTGCAGATTAATTTCGCACTTGGGTCGTGTCCATCAAAACGACAGCAGCTTCCATGTCCTTTGTGGCATTGATGGATGTCCAAGGACGTATAAAAACTATTATTCCCTTAAGACACACTTTCATACGAAGCATTCCACAATACTGAAGAGGGAAAGGCAAAGAGTGCCACAACGCAACGAAGATCCTGAAGAAATCAATAACGAGGATCACAACGACGATCATGGTGATAACGACGACGCTGCATTCGACTTTGACCGAGAAGTTGAACAGTGTAGGCGATCCAATGCTTTGGGCATTTTGAAAATAAAGGATGAGGCCAAAATTCCCCAAACGGTGGTGGAGTCGTCAAAAGTACAACACAAGTTGTAAACAACAGTGTCGACGTTATCAAGCATGGGTTACAGCAGTGTTTACAGAATGCTGGTTTACAAATCGACGACATCCCTGGCATTGAAGAGCTGTTTGAAGAGTCCAGTAGCATCCGTGAACCATTTAAGGATTGCCACAATGAAGCATCCCAACTGAAGTACTATAAAGAAAATTTAGGAATGGTGGTAAGTAAAATTATATACAAATACATAATATATACCTCTATAGTGTGTATTAAAAATAATGAATAGCAGAGTAACTTTTTTATGACAGGAAAGAAAAGTATTTGACATGTTGCACACTGTGACCATTTTTATGATAAAATATTCTAGCAAATTAAATAACTCAGTCAATTGATCCCTTTATGTTTACAGGAGCCTGAAAAGATTGTGTTAGGCAGATACCACAAAAAGGTCAGGAAGGGCAGCAAACTTGTTGATGTTGAAAAAGAAGACAAGGCATACTATGTGCCATTAATAAAGAGCATCCAGCAACTTTTAACCAACGAGGCTGTTGTTGAAGAGGTACATGTTGTGGCAGTGCATGCAATCACTATTGATTCTTAATAAATGTTTCTGGGAGATACATTTTGTCACTTTACCTACAGATTCCTTTTTTGATAATTGAAATTGAAAGCTAATATTTAAACTGATGGCAGATACACCAAAACCTATTTTATAGGCCAGAGCCCTTAAAATTTGAATTTTAAGTGTAAAATTTGAGTAATTATTTCAGTAAATTATTTAGATTAACCATCCTCATAATCGTGATGATGGGTTGATGGCAGATTATTGTGATGGTGAGGAATATCAAGCACATCCATTGTTCAGCCAAAATAGGTATATCACACTGTTGTTGTATTAGTGTTGTACAGAGTGTACAAGTTCATATAGCTTTTCCTAATTTAACCATACATGTAAAAATGGCAAGTGGCTTTATTTGGTAATGTTCAATGTGTGACAATTTTTATGAATATGGGTAACACAAATAACACATAGCCTTAGATCTCAGTGCCTAAATTACTTTTAGTCAGGAATGAAGTCAATCAGTAAAGTACTAAAGATCACAAGTAAAACTTAGAATTTAGTTATTAAAGACAATAGCTCGCGATCAGGCACAGCTGTAAACCTTGACATTGTCTGAAATAAATTACAACTAACCAATTGATTATTTGCAATTTTTATTTTCATGTAGACATACACTTCAAATATTCCTATTCTTTGATGAGTTAGAAGTGTGCAACCCCCTTGGGTCACGAGCAAACACTCACAAAATAGGTAACAGTGACAACATTGGCTAATGTTCATGAAATGTACTTTGTGGGAGAGCATCATTTAATTGTTCACATCAAACAAAATTAAAAAATTATATTTACTGTACTTACTTATATTTACTGATATTTCCTTAACTCAGGCAACTTCTACTACACACTTGGCAACATATCACCAGATAAACGGTCAAGTCTTGGTGCAATTATGCTGGTAGCCATTGTAAACAGCAAACATCTTAAAGAATACGGTGTTGCAAGTATCCTTAACACAATCATGGAGGACATCAGATTACTTGAGGAGGTACCATACATCTAATATATAATAAAAATTAATAGGTGATGTGCTAGAATGCCCTACAGTATGATTGATGCTTTATGTATAGCAAAATATATATTTTAATAATATTTTTAGGTAATGTGCCCCAGTGAATCCTACAGTACTTATTCTTTCCTTTGACAGATGCCAGATTATTTTATTTGTCAATGGGGAAGCTTTGGCACTTTATTGGTTAAATAAATCAATTATACCATCATGATTTATACTGACCACACTGCCACACACCCTTTTTTTTCTTGGTAAATTCAAAATTTACAGATATAAATTTACTTATGTAGGGTGTTGAATTTGATGTTTGTGGGGAAAAAAACAAATCAAGGGAACTATTGCCTACTCATCTGGAGATAACCTTGGCTCCCAACTATTAGGAGGATTTAAGGAAGGATCCCAGGCATACCAAAAATGCAGAGAATGCATGGGACTTGCTGAGCAAATTCAAACCATGGTACACTTGAAAGTTTTTAATTGACTACGTATACAGTAAAGGATTGACAATTAATTACTGACCTGATCACCTTATTGAAGTGTCAATTGTATAATTTTAGTTCCATGAAGCTGACTTTACTCTTCGAACAAGGGATGGCTATGAGATTCATTGTCGACGCCTTCAACAATCTGAACACTTCAGCGTAACATTTGGTTTAAATAGGAGGTCTGAGCTGAACAACTCCAGATTTTACCATGTTGTCGGTGGATTACCAGCTGATGCAATGCACGATGTTTTGGAGGGTACCCTGCAGTATCATACCAAAGAGATTCTGAAATACTTTATTCTAGAAAAGAAAGCATTCTCTTTGGATGAACTGAATAAGAGAATCACCTCCTTTGATTATGGGTATGTGACTAATGTAAAATACTCCAGGTCTGGCATGTTCAAAGGTGGATTAGTCCTAATCCTGGGTTAAAATTTCAAAACCTCAGAGAAGTAAACTCCTATCGATCCAAACAAGATTTCTGAAGGGATATTTCCGAATTTATAGACAAGCTGTCAGGAAGTTTGAAGGGAATTTTTAAGTTAACCTCGCTAGTATATTCCACGAGTATGATATTGTTTGGAGACAATCAGAGGTCATTAACCTGCACAGCAATTCGTAAAATTTTGCATTATATCAAGAATTACAACTTTTCATCACGTTACTGCAAGCCAAATGTTGAGCCAAAGGCCTTTTAACAAAATATGTCACGATCAAAGGAATTCTTTTCGTGCACGTCATTTTAACGATCCAAATTTGATCAGACTTGTAATGACTATATAGAAATTAGTCTATTTATGAGCATGGTAATGTGAAATTAAATTTTGTAAAAAGTGAATGTTCATTTATACCAATTTTAAGTTTGGGAAAATCAATTTTAATACAATCAACAATAGTCAATATGGCGCGCCGGCGCGTCACGTTCGGTTTCAAATCGGTTTCGGTTTCGGTTTCAAAATTTCTGTAAAACTTAAATGTTTAATATCTAAATACATTTAGCGGACAATATACTGCACAATGTGCATTCGGGAAATAATTTTTAAGCAGTTTGACATTGTAAAAATTGCGTTTGGACAATCGTCCAGCTTGTGATATTTCAATACAAAGACTAAATAAAATTAGATTTTTTGTTACATTTTTGTCACAACTTAAGTTGCATCCACCACGTTTAGTTTTCAGCTGCCAAAAAATATACCAGCTGTTACAATGCACATTACTACATTTTTTAAAAGAAATTTCGATTCTTACCTTCTTCTGATGTTTATTTTGCATGTAAATTTGACTGTAAATTCTACGCGAATTACAATAAGCGAGCACATCCGTATAAGCAAAGTAGGGCTGTTGAGTGTTTACGTCAGTGACGTGTGCATGAACACGTGGTGCAGTGCACCGGAAAGGTGATCCTGGTAAAATGGAAAAGCCACATTTTAGGCCAGGTTTATACGTCGAAATTCCGTCGGATTTAATTTAAGTCGCATGTTTTCTCCAAAGGGTTGCCCCTCCCAGAATTGAACTTACGCTATGACTTGTAGTATCAAGAAATATTACAGAAGCAACCTTAGCAAATATTACTGTAACAAACACTACCTAGTATTAACTCAGTATTAAATCTTTTTAGCAACCTGGCATGCATGCATGCAGTAAACTGATCATCGTAGTAAAAACCCCTAGCAGTATAATAGTATTTGGGGAATTAATTGTTCCTACAATGTTTTAGCTACCACAACGATTCTAACAAACCTGCGCCAATTTTGCGGACAAAACTCACATCTGATGATAACAGTCTCAAACAACATGGTAAGATATACAACTTATTATATATTATATCCAACTATTAAATATCCATCTTCTACTCCATATGCATAATACTATAAGCATTTCATTACAAAACATGCAAGAAATATTGTGTAGATTTCAAACTGATTTCAAGAATGTTGATGACATTTGATGTAGCAAGTGATGCGTTTTCACGTTGTACGAAATACTTCATTTAGAGATATTTAGAGATACCTGCCAAGGATCATTGTTACAATGTTGCATTTTCAGGAGTTGTAAGTTCAGTTTTGCGTTTAAAAAATCCGTCAATGCTAGAGAAAAAACGCTCCAATGTCAAATAGCCACAGTCACAAGTATCACATGCATGTACGCTGCATAAACTTACTACCAGGCCTCCTCTTACTTTCGTTTTCTCGGCAAGTAACACGTCTAGGTTCTTCCAATAGGCATGCGTACAGAAAGGTAATGCACTGAACCCACCTTCTTCTCGATATACCGGTTATAGCTATAGACCCTTTGCACTGACGTCATAATGATTAAAAGTTGTCCTCCAGAACTTTCCTTGCCTCACCAAAATAATCTTATAGGGGCGGTGAAGGTTGCCAACAACAGCAATTAACAGAGCACAGTTTTCACACAGGGCCGCCGGAAGCAATCAAGGGCGGGGGGGGGGGGTGCAAGAGACTCGAAAAAGGGCACTTTAGTTAGGATAGTGCCTCTCTTTTTTAATCTTAAAATAAAGAATGGAAGCTTATGAAATTAAAGGTTGGGCTGCTTTCCGCAATATGAAAAACGAAAATTACGAATTAAGAACATAGATACGCTAAAATTTACTCAAATTATGAAATTATATGAACATAATTAAATATTTAAAGTTAGACTGATTACATAGATACATTCAATGTCAATGAGTATATAAAAGGCAAGCTGCCCCCGCGGTTTCGGCGCCCCTGCTCGCAAACTAGTCAATATTTCCGTATTTTGCCCAAATTTTACGTTTTTGCAGACATTAGTTTGTCCTCCAGATAGTGTGACGTCATGTGCAAAGGGTCTATATACCTATACTCTGTGCTTAAACCAAAAATCGTAGTAGTTGGAAATGAATATCGCACCCGCCTGGGCTATTATAAATAAACATAAACTAATAAATAAACGCCATGGCTCTGCTAGATGAATAGAAATATCAGAATGTTCCTAATTTATAAATAATTGAAATCGAAGAAGCAGCATAGTTGATTTACATCATTTACTTTTTAGCAAATGAGATGTGGTGTTTAGGTCTATTTTTGCCGCTCCTGGTTGGCGAGTTTATCGACGAAGATGACGACCATTGGACTGCATACTGCACACTACTAGAAATAGTACGTATTGTCTTCTCTCCGCTGGTAAGCAAGCAGCAGATACCGTATCTTCAAGTGCTCATCCAGAATCACCACGAGAGCTTTAAAGCCTTGTATCCTCATGCCTCGATCATTCCAAAAATGCATTACATGATTCACATGCCAAGGACAATGCTACGGTGAGTAAATAATTAACCGTTTCCATTTATATATACGTATAGCCTAAGGAGGTGCATTTATGCATATTCATGTTCGCATACCGTAACAACAGACTGAACAGAGATTCTCTGCCTACGAATCAAATTTGCTTTTGAACGTAAAACATGAATATAAACCCCACCACTAGTCACTACCCCCGCTAACTATTGTTCTAGCGATGGTCCAGATGCAGTTGGTGGCCGGTATGCAGCGTGTCATTTCTCACCCTCTCCCCAATTTGTTAAATAAACGTTTTTTTCGTATCCCCCTTTCGTACGTCTTCTTTTCAATCTTGTACCAAAGTGAACTGGAAAATTAAGAATGTAGGACGATTTTTTTAAATTGCAGTTTGGGACCGTTGATACGAATTTGGTGCATGCGATATGAGGCAAAGCACTCATACTTCAAACAGCTGGCAGTCTCGTGTGGCAATTTTATAAACTTGCCCTATCTGTTGGCTAAACGGCACCAAGAGGGCTTGTGTTATCGTCTTAACACACCAGACGGCAGCCACTCAACTTTTCTGGAAAAAGGCAACGAGATTGGTCCAGGTATTTGTGCTAAAAGTCACATGCATGCATAACAACACACACTTAATTTTATCACACTAAATTTATCTGTAATCAAAGCGTATGTTGTACAATCATAAAGGAACGAAATGGATTTATATCTTGAAACTAATTTATATGATGAAATTTATGTTTAATTACAGGCACTGAAATTCGTGCTGGCAATCTGGAATGCTACAATTTGCTCGAACAAAGTTATCCTGCTGATCTAGATGATGATACCTTTGTGTATGAGTAAGTATTTTTCATTAGAACAACATTTATTATCCATACCCAACATAGTAAAAATGTATACTCCCATAATGTTATATGCTGCCTGGGTACTAAAATAACTACAATGGCTGTAACCCCAAAAGTAATTAAGACTGTAATTTAACCTCTTGAGTATTGTAAGTCAACCTTACTTCAAATACAGTACGGTATACTAAATCACAGTATATACAGTATATTAAATCATACTTTTTTGGCGTCTTCGCTGTAGTATTGTGCTCTGGTCACTCAGTTTCATGTCTTTTATCCAAGGGCAAAATGGGTTGTTATTCATGGTACCAAGTACAAAAGAAATGCCATCATACATATCGGTTATGGAAAATCCAGAAGATATTAGTTGTTGCCAAAAACCTTGCAGCAATCCAGTTTCTTGTGCAGCCACTGATCACTGTCACGTTTGAAAGCCATCTCCAGTGTTATGAGGTCAACATTCCAGATGATAACGTTGAGATTGAAATTCGACAACACAAGGACTTTACATGCTACATCCCGAAACATCTCTGCCGGCCATATGGTCGCCGAGTTGGCGCCTGGTATGTGTGTACCAGATATGAGCTTGGCACCAACAGTTAGATGAAGATAACAACTATGTAAAAATGTAGATAACAATGTAGATATGTAAATAGCAATGCAGATATGTAAATAATAATGTAAATATGTAAATAACAATGAAGATATGTAAATAAAAATGTAAATATGTAAATAATAATGTAGATATGTAAATAACAATGTAAATATGTAAATAACAATGAAGATATGTAAATAACAATGAAGATATGTAAATAACAATGTAGATATGTACAATACAGTAAGTGTCAATTGAAAAAACTTAAGCAGGAGTTTGGCCTACTAAGTTGCAATGCACTCCTTACTTATTTTTCTTTTTGACAAATGTCAGACAATTTCACTGTTCAACGAGGAAGCTTTGGAGCTTTAAACAGCTTTGGAGCTTTAAACAGGTTAAACCAATAACCTGAAAAGCTTCCGCCACTAATATAAAATTTGACAACCTCCCCAGTTATTGCCCATTAAGCTAAAATCAGGCGTAGTGTGTCCTATTATCACTTTACTTGTCAGCATCAGACATTTTTACTAATCAGTGAGTAAGCTCTTCAGCTTATTGCATCCAATAAGGTTGCATGAAGCCTAAATGTGCTCAATTGTTCACTACTGATTTTTTTTTCTTTGGAGAAATGATGGTAATTTCACTTGTCAACAAGGAAGGTCTGCAGCTTAATATCTTAAATAGCTTTCTGCTAACAAATGAAATCATGTAATCATGAAATCATGTTGGCTGTTCTGGTATGCAACATTTAATATGCAATTGTTGACTGTTGCATGACTAAATGGTTGGGCTGGCCATGCTACTAATGTTAAGTCACTCAGGGTATTATTGTAAAATAGTAGACATAGATATGTAAACAATTGCTCTGCTAATTTTTCAGTATTGAGCACTCTCATTTCTTATATGAAAGGATCATCAGTGTTTGTTATTCATTGGTTCATCATTGATTGTTCCTTCATTATAGGATTTTGTTTGGCCCACTTCGCAGTTGTTTAATATACTAATGTACCAGTTGTTCTAAGAGAGGTTTCTAGAAGTTTCTAGAAGTTTTCAAACTGCTGTTTTAGTTTGTGTATTTCTGCATATCTGTTCATTTAAAACTTCAGTTAAGTAAACTCATGCAGGCAATGCAGGCAAGAAAGATCTCTGAAGAAATACTTCAATATACACACACATAAAAGCTCAGTTTTCTGTGAATTTTAGATTAATTAATGTTAACCCAGTTTTTAAAATATAACACAGCTTTGAGCAACTAGCCCCAAGGAGTAAATGTGTGGGTTGGAGCAAGTATACAGTATGTTAAACACCTAGAAGGCGGGCTGTATGTGATATACTAGTATACTCTCCTGACAAAGGCCCTCAGATCGAAACGTCGAGAAGCGTTTTGTCTATACCACATTTCATGCTAAGTTGTTCGAAGACGCTGCCACGCTGCTCCTTGGTTATATTGGAACTAGTATATGAGGTGTTTCATACTTAAATCACTATTAAAGAGGTTTATGGGACTTTGTTTTTCCAAGCTAGAAGGTATTTGACACGTGTTTAATAGGGAGTGGTTTTATAATATTGCATATTCCTATAAAAATATTATACGCCATCAATATTAACCAGTTCATAATCAAGAAGATATCTATCTAGTTTACTAGTATACACAGACCTTCAAATTCTTTGCTTCGATTCTTTCTTGATTCATTCTGTACTTTTATATTATATACAAAAAGATAAAAATGCCTTCTCAACTTCTCAACTGTTCTCAACTATATCACTCAACCAGCAGGATCCAGTGAACTCTATACAACTGGAACGATAACTCCTAACAAACATCCCTATTCAGTTTGTTTACAGTTCAATGGTATGATCATTTTGACACGTCACGTAATTTAACCCCTCAGAAGGTGTTATTTTAATCCCATTTCGCTAAGTCACTATTCGAATTCGCGCACCCAAGATTTAATCCCTCAAATAGTGTTAATTTAATCCCAACGAGGTGTTTTTTTAACCCCAATATTGGGGTTAAAGTAGTTCAAAATTTTTAATACCCTTAAAAACCCTTTCATAGGGTATTAAAATAACACCTTGAAAATAACAGTGTGTATAGGACATGGAATTACAAGCATAAGAGAGCCTCGGTTGACGAACGAACATCAACTAATCGAGTTTGTTCCGCGTTCATCATGAAACTAGTATATATGTACACAAACATCAGAATCTCAGATTCTGACAAAAGAATAGCGTTGCATAAATCGATTTTCGTCGTCTTATGTCTAGAAATTATCATATAAGTCTTAAACACAAACTTGACCAATCAGAGTCTTAGATTTGGACGTTGCATAAATCAATTTTCGTCGTCGTTTGTCTTGAAATTATCATATAAGTCTTAAGCATATACTTGACCAATCAGAGTCTTAGATTCGGACGTTGCATAAATGAATATTCGTCTGGTTTCGTCCTTAGATGCAGGTCAACTTTTAGGACAAAGCACTGACTTTACTAACTAAGCACTACTTCAAAATTTTGGCAGCTTACATACCAATAGTTATTAAAAATCGGTTTAGTAAAGCGTATTGATTCATGCGTCCCCGAAGGATATAAAAGCGCATGATTTTAACTTCACTAGTCTTGTCTTTACAGAAATGTGCACGTAGCTGTCAAACTTTCAGTCGTCAGTGCAACGCGCTTTGTCTTAGTCATTCAAATTCCAACGGTAAATGTCATAGCTTTTCTTTTCATCCAAAAGCGTTTATACTTTATACCCCGCATGATTTGAATGCACCAACTTGAACGATCCGTTCGAACGTAGGATTACTTTGTTTGCTTACTCTGGTCATAAAACAACTTGGATTTTGTTTTCAGTCTACATACCTGTACCGTAAAATCCGTAAATGTTCACCATCTGATGCCTCTATATATGTTAGGCTGTGTTTAAACGACAAAATTCAGATGCAACCACATAACAAGCAAAACAAATTCCCATACTCACAGTTTGATGTACAGCGTAAAAAGAAAGCGAACAATTGGGATCCAAGCTATTCACAAAACAATCGAAGTTAAAAGTCAAGGTACCCAATGCGAACAAATACCACCAAGTTATGACAGAGCATCGGGAAAATGTAACACTACTCACAATTTGACTTATGACGAATTACTACAGCAATACCTTTGTAACACAGAGCACACCCTCGAATGGTTAAAAGATTAAAAGCTTATTTCATCATGCAGATACTGCCCAGTTTGTGATAAGGAAATGAAATGGACAAAAACATATGATCGCTCTGACGGATACAAGTGGGAATGTAGAAAGCAAACAGCTAAAAAACGGCACAAAACTGAGCGCAGTGTAAGAGAAGAATCTTGGTTTGAAAAGAGCAACCTGACGATTCCAGAGATCATAAAGTTAACTTATTGGTGGTGTACTGATTTGACTGAAAATCAGATCAGCAAACAATTAAGGTTAGGATCAGCCACTATAGTCGATTGGTCTAACTTTTGTAGGGAGGTATGCGAAGTTACAATTTTGAAGAACAACCAACCGATAGGAGGACAGGACATTAGAGTGCAAATTGACGAGTCAAAAGTTGGGA